GATAAGGTAGGTAGTATAGTTATGATCGATATGATAGACAAGGCAGATAAGACACAACAGATAGACCAGATAGGTAATATGGACAACATAGATAGGCTTGATACGACAAGACAAAAAGGACAGACAGGAAAGATAGGACAGATATGATATCTTGATAGATAGCTATGTAGATAGATAGATCGACACATGGAAGAAGATAGGATACGATAGGAGAAGATGGGAGAAGGTAGGATAAGACAGGATTGGACGGCATACGGCAGGATATGGTAGGATATGGTAGGATAATCGCAACATCGGAACGGCGCAACGGCGCGGCAGCGCAACAGCGCAGTGGTGCAACAGCAGAACGTCGCGGCAGCGCAACGGCGGAGCGCAGCAGTGCAGCGGCGCAACAGCGCAACGGCGTAACAGCGCAATGGCGCAAATGCGCCAAGGCGCGACAGCGTAACAGCGCAATGGCGCAACAAAACGGCGCAACGGCGCAGCGGCGCAGCGGTGCAGCGGCGCAGCCGCGCAACGGCGTAACAGCGCAGCGGTGCAAACGCGCAACGGCGCAACCGCGCAGCGGCGCAACGGCGCAGCGGCGCAACGGCGCAGCGGCGCAACGGCGCAGCGGTGCAGCGGCGCAAGGGCGCAGCGGCGCAAGGGCGCAGCGGCGCAACGGCGCAGCAGCGCGACGGCGCAAGAGCGCAACCGCGAACGGCGCAGCGGCGCGACGGCGCAGCGGCTCAGCGGCGCAGCGGTGCAGCGACGCAACGGCGCAACAGCGGAACGGCGCAGCAGCTCAACGGCGCAGCGGCGCACGTCAACGGAGGCGGCTTCAGCGGCGCAACAGCGCAGCGGTGCAGCAGAAAAGCAGCGCAGCAGCGCAACAGCAGAGCGGCGCAAAGTCATCAGCGCAGCAGCGAGCAGCGCAGCAGCGCAACAGCGCAAAGCAGTTTAGCGACACAGATCGCCAACACGCTCCAGATGTCCAAGATGTGGGGGATGTTTGAGGGTGGTGAGGAGAGAACGATGAACGCCAGGCTCGAGGGGAGAGAGGGCTGCCCTTACCACAATGACTTCAAGAGGTACCCCAACATCACCGAACACGATCAGGAAGGTATACTCTTGCCATCAACAGCGAAGAAAATTTCTCAATCGGAGAATGTTCGGACAAGATCCTTCCGATCGGTTGAGGAGCGTGAAGATTATATTCGTATGATGGTGTGCAAATGCGAGGGACTTTACACATTCTACAAGCTGTGGATTGCAGCGAGAATCCTCGATGTCACCAAGGACGAAATGAAGCTCCTGGTCAAGGACCGAGTGCACCCGGTGGGTGATATTATTTTCAGATGCTTTGCACTGGCTTTCAACTGTAAGTATATATCATTCGTGAGGGATGGCCTGAACCTTGGCAAGAATGGTTACACGGTCAACGTGAGCGCCATCATCTCGGCCATCGACCCGAACAAGTGCAACACACCTCTGCTGGATTGGTGCCTTCGGAAAGGGCACTGGCTACCAGAAGATCACAACAAGAAGTGTGTCCGGGCACGAGAAGCCCAGAAGAACTTGGACGAGGAGTTCCGTCGACGCACTCACAGGCTGTCCATTGGGGACAGGTATGCGTCGTGAAGATGCTGATTGCGGTACGATGTGGGTTAGTCCTGATCTGTCACTTGCGTCTCATCGACACTATTGCGATGGAACGACTTTATATCATGAATTACATTCATGTGTCCAAGATGACTGGATGTGTACATGGTTACATATTCCGATGACTATGATGCTCTGGATATTCATGGATGGAACTATTACCTTATGGATGATATCCTTTTCATTATTTATGCATTGTCCATGGTATCTGGAATGGCTATGATTTGCATTGATTGCTCGCCGATGTTTCTTTGCCGGAGATATGCAGACCGATTACGAGCAGGCGCCTCTGATGGACTTTTGTGGCCAACCCATTTATGGATGACAGCTGCGCGATGCGCAAACGCGGCAGCTGGATTGTTCATTGGTGGTCAAATGACGTGAGGATAGTGTATTGCATACACCTGCATATGGGAGTACGCTTCGATTAGTGGATGAATGTTTCACTTTTTCATACAATCGAACCCGGCACGTTTCACAACGAATGAACGGTGTAGTGATAGCAAGTAAAAGAATGCACGACACAATTTCGTAGCTGAAGGCCGTGGCCAGTGGAACGTTTTGTGATGTTTGGACCGCATGATGAACAATGCGACCCAAATGGGGGATGTTAAAACCCTCTAGGCCCCGTGCCGAAATTGGGTAGCTGTTCTGAGGTCCATGTTGGTGTTGCTTACCAAGTTCCATTGATCGCCATTTGGCTCAAGACACAATTGAGGTTCAAGATCTGATGTGTAGCTGCATACATACGTGATCGGCATTGAGAGCGGAAAAACTTCGCTTGCGCTGCATTTGTCAGGACCACTGTTGTAACTATCATTCCTTCTCCCTTACAACGTTTACACGGGTTCGGCTATAACGGCATCGTCCGTATACACCTTTCTACGTGGTTGGTATTACAGCTGGAGGGTTCGGTGCATAGCGTCCCACGGGACGTCACCTTGCCGTCTCTTGACAGGGAAGTACCCCAACATGACAGAGATTGATCAGGAAGGGATCCTTTTGCCATCGACGGTACTGACGATTTCCCAATCTCAGAGCGTTCGAGAAAGGGCCTTACGGTCGGCTGAGGAGCGCAACGAATACATCCGTTATTTGGTGTGCAAATGCGAGGGGCTATACATATTCTACAAGCTGTGGATTGCAGCGAAGATCCTCGACATCACCAAAGACGAGATGAAGCTCCTGGTCAAGGATCGCATACACCCGGTGGGTGAACTTGTTTACAGATGCTTCTCCCTGGCTTTCAACTGCAAATATATATCATTCGTAAGGGAAGGATTGAACCTTGGCAGATATGGTCATTCGGTCAACGTGACCGCCATTATTGCGGCCACTGACTGGAACAAATGCGACGCACCCCTGCTAGATTGGTCTCTCCGAAAGGGACATTGGCTACCAGAGGACCACCGCAAGAAATGCGTCAGGGCGCGAGAAGCCCAGAAGAATTTGGACGAAGAGTTCCGTCGGCGCACCAATAGGCTGTCCATTGGGGACAGATATGCGTGACGCAGGTGTGGATAATCATTGCTTTTGCGGCATGGTGTATTCATCAGCAGCAACACATGAAAATTCACTCCGATGTTGATAGCAGCATGATGTGGGCTAGTCCCCATCCATCGCTTGCGTCACATCAATTCAGCCATGATGGAACATTTCTTTGACATGATATGATTTCATGTGTCCAAGGGGAATGAATGTGTATGTATTTACATATTCCGACGACTATGACATTCCGGATATTCATGGATGTGCACTATTGCCTCATGGATGATTTCTTTTCCTTATATTATTCGTGGTATCTGGAATGGCTATGTTTGCATATGGTGCTCGCCAAATCTTCTTTGCCAATGGTATTCAGATGGCATATGACCGTGCGCTGCTATGGATTTCTATGGCCAACCCATTTCTGTGGATGACGGCTGCGCGATGCGCAAATGCGGCAGCCGGGATTTCAAGTGGTTGCGTATTGGCTCGAGGCGAAACGTCTCTTGCATCTGAGTATAGGAATGTGCACGATTTGCGGATGCATGTTTCTGTCTTGATCGGACCTGGCAAGTTTCACAATGAATGGACGGTATAGCAATAGTGAATGAAAGAGTGTTCGACACAGTTTCGTAGTCGGAGCCGTGGCCATTGGAACGTGTTGTGATGTTTGGACCGCATGATGAACAAAGCGACCCAAATGGGGGATGTTAAAACCCTCCTGGCCCCGTGCCTAAATTGAGAAGCTGTTCTGAGGTCCGTGTTGGTGTTGGTTACATTGTTCCATTGATTGCCATTTTGGCTCAAGTCACAAGTAGGGCTCAAGGTCTTGCATGAACTACGTCTGTACGTGATCGACCATAGAGAGTGGAAAATACTTCATTCGTGTTGCAGCTGCCAGGATCACCATCGTGGTTATTGGTTCTTATCCCTTACAACAGTTTACACGGGTTCGGCTATAACGGTTTGACCGTACCGTATACACCTTTCTACGTGGTTGGGTACAAAGCTGGAGGGTTCGGTGGACAGCGTCCCACGGGACGTCACCTTAAGCCGTCTCTTGACAGAAACTTTTGGGATCCTTGCTCCTATGCTCCTCTTCATGTTCGCAGTGGACAAGGTGGACACACATCGTCTACAAGTCCACTTACCTCTTCGAACCGACAATGAGGGCAATGCTTACGCCGCTTCCAAACGCTCTGCAAGGTGGACGGCTCACGCCTGGCTGGATCTTTTTTTTCCACATGAAAGACAAGCAGGCGCAGGTCCCATGACCACTGTTGTTCTGGCTGGAGCTGCTGGGAACGGCCTGGGATTGTGCCCCACCTGGACTCTGTCCACTGATCGGGGCCTGCTTTCTCCCCCGCTTTCTTGTGTTGGACTTAGGTTGAGACGGTTGTCTCCGTAGGACTTTTGTTTATCCACGCCTGGACCTGGTTTCTCCTGTTCTCTTTGGTTTTGATCATGGGTTCTGGATTTCACGGGGCCAAGTTTTTAACACGGAAGCACGCGAATAGGGGATATGAAAGTATGCTGAGGCCCTCAGTTTTGGAATGTTATTGCCACTCACGCAGTTCTCGGAAAAAGTGTCCTCTTGCAACTGCACATTGGGCTGCGCGCTGTGACTTGCAGGGTTTCCCAGGTTGTCAACTATGGGTTTGCCATGGTTCCGAGATGTCCGCGGGTCTGCTTGCCCAAGCTAGCCCTTGAAGCGTTCAACCTTTTCAGCCCGCTCAACACAAAGAAATGTAAAACACAGAATGACTCCCAGCTCAGTCAGCCCAGCAAGTGAAACTTTGAGTGTAGAGGGTAGGCTTTGAGGACCCAAGTTCAGGGCGAAACGATTAGGGCTCACGGGCTGCGGAAGTGCAGAGGCCTTGGACCGATGATTTTTCTTGGGCGCGGGCCCCAGTGAACGAGCAAAGCACACGCCGAGCCAGAAGCCGTTGCAGAATGTTTCTCCAACCCGTTTGGCTTGCTTAGCGTGTAGCTTCTCTGAACAATCAAGCAAATCCAATGAATGTTTATTACTCCCAAATATTTTGGTTCCAAATCAAAGGACGTAGCGCGGAAACTGAGTCAAAGGTAGTTCTGTGCGTAGATAAATTCAGAAAGCGTGAGCGCGCGCGAGAAAACATGCGTGGGCGTGCGAGAAAACACGCTGGGGAAGTGAAAACGTGAAAAAGAGTGACCCTCTGCGGGTTCTGCCGGGCCCGCGTTGATGTCAACCGCCTCTGTCTCGACGACTGGCTCGGCGCGGGTTCAGCAAGGCGAAGGTTTTGCAAGGCCTTACTTGCGTGTCGGCGCAGCGCTTTCGCAAGGTCCGGCGCAGGTTTGCGCGGCGTGCGCTTTCGCAGGTACAGGCGCGGAACCTCCGCAAGGCAGCAAGGTCGATAGATGGAGAGATAGTTGTGCAGATGAGGAGAGGTAGACAGACAGACAGACAAGCAGATAGGTAGATAGGTAGATAGGTAGCTAGAAAGTGGATAGATAGAGAAATAGAAATACATGTGTAGAACCGTAGAGAGAAACAAGAGAGAGCGACAAAGAGAGACAGAGAGAGGGAGAGAAGAACCACATCGAGAAAGGCATATGGGTGGATGGATGGGTAGATAAAAAGCAGAGAGAGAGAGGGTCAGATAGACAGATGTACAAATAGATCGAAAAAGAAAGATAGATGGACACATAGACAGACAGACAGACAGACAGACAGACAGACAGACAGAGAGAGAGAGAGAGACAGACGGACAGACAGACAGACAGACAGACAGACAGACAGACAGACAGACAGAGACAGAGACAGACAGAGACAGACGGACGGACGGACGGACGGACGGACGGACGGACGGACGGACGGACGATGGGGTGGCGATCACTGGATGTACAACTGGGGCACACGGAAGAATACAAACAAGGTCAAGAACCCGGTTGAAGGAAAGTTCTTGGCGGACCTGGATTGGATGAGGATTATTGTCAATCCGGTCGATGGGTCAGTTTTATGCATGGACTCCAAACATCTTCAAGATTTTGGCGTAAGGAATGTGACGTTGCACGAGGTCTATAAGATTCTGGCAGCTATCTACGCATGGAAGTTTACTCCAAGGGAAGGTCTTGCATCTATCCCAAAGAACGACCATGATGGGGGACTGTCGGAGAACATTGATGGCACTTGTTCAGAAAGCACAATGACAGGAGGAAATGTATCCGAATGTACGGATGAGCTGGCATACATGTATGAGTGGGAAGATATGGCAGCGCGTGATTTGGGTTTGCGAACCTGCGCGGCGTCGCCAAAGGTGGATTGCCCTGAGGGCGATTGTCCCAGGATGCCTTGTGTTCCGGCCGAAGAGCATCATCGAGAGAAAGTCGCCAAGGTGGCCAAGTTCATCAATGCAATGGTGTCACGACCCGTAGGCAGGGCCGAGATGCTCAGCCAACACCAAGGCGATGGACTCCATGAAGAAGGACTGGAAAGGTCTCATTGACCAAGGGGTATTCGATCTATCTGTAATCCGTGAGTACTATGATGTCGCTCGCGAGGCAAAACAGAAGAACGAAGAAGTACACATGGCCAGGGCGCATGGTATTATAGTTTCGGAAGAGGACCCACGCAGAAACTACAAAGGTCGTGGGGTAGTGCTCGGGAACCAGATTAAGAACCAGACGTCGGACGCGGCATTGTTTCAAGATGTGGGGAATTCTCCTGCAACTTTCGAAGCTTCCAGATGGGCCGACTTTTTGGGTTGCCTTGACGGATGGGATGCGCAGATGGCTGATGCGGTGTAGGCATATATCCAAGCTACACTACGGGGTACACCTTGTTGGATCGAGCTTCCATCTGAAGCCGTTCGCGAGGATGACAAAGAACGACGGAATCAGTTCAAAAGACCTGTGGTTCGTTTGGTGAAGGCTTTGTACGGTCATCCTGATGCTGGTACATTTTGGGAACAGCACTGCGATGAGTGGGTGCGTGCAATGGGTTTTCAGCCGGTTGGTGAAGAATGGCTTTCTGTCTATACCCATCCTGAACTACAATTAGTTCTTGTGCTCTATGTGGACGACTTTAAAGATGGCTGGTCCAAAGAACAATCTCAAAAAGGCTTGGGAGCTGCTTCGCGAGAAGCTGATTATTGAGCCGGAAACCAGCCTGGATTTATATCTGAGATGCAATCAGTCCAAAGGTACTGTGGTTCTCGGCAACGGCCATAAGGTCACCACTGTGACGTACGACATGGAGCAGTTCCTGCGCTCTTGTGTCGATCGCTACCTCGAAGTAGCAGGCAACGTTGAGTTGAAGAAAGCTCCTACACCGGGCCCCCATGAAGAGACCAAGGATCACCCGTCGAGGGCTCCGATACAGACCGGACCGTCGGTCGAGTGCAATTGGTGTGGAAACAGTTCCCGCGAATGGTTATGAAACTCCATCACACGTGAATGAATCGATCACCATCGTCGAACAGCGCACTGCTTTCGGCAACCTCAACATCGGGGTTAGCTTTGTCTCGCGCAGGAAATCCGGAGTCGTCATGCCCACTACGAAGTTTGGGCCGGAAGTCAAAGCGGGGAAGAGTGGGAGCGGTATTTGCGGCACTTGGTGACAACATTGCTCATCTTCGACGAGAGGAGAAGATCTGACCGCATCATCGCTGCCTACCTCAACAAGCCCAACCTCGCCTGGCTCCAACTTTATGCATACATCTGCGCAAGGACGGGATGTCTTTACTCAGCAAAGCTACCCGGAGCAACCGCATTGAAGGTTCTCATTGACGGTCATGACAATCCCGACACGGCCAATGCTGGAATTTCGAAGATCATCAAGAGGCACAATGACGAGGAGGGTACTGAACTCACCTGCCAGCAATTGTGCGATGTCGCGACGTTGACCAAGTCCTACGTGATCCTCGATTGGCCAGGCAGAAAACAGGGAAGCGCATCAAGACGTTCCAATCCCACATGCGTGACAATGGGTGGAACAACGTCATCGAGATGTCGTACTACGCGTCCGACGATATGAAGCGTGGTACAAACACCCCACTTGTTGCTCGTACCAGAGGACTGATCAACACGCTCAAAGGTGGCGGCAAATGGAAGAGCAACCCGTCGCGAACTGCTCGGTACACATTTGGATGTCGTTGTGTGACTGCATCCACAAGCAAGGTTTCGAGTGGAAGATCAACACCAACTACGAGTACAACGGCCTGCTCGAGGTTCTGAGTAAACTTTCAAGCATATGCGGCGGAGGAGTATTCGTGAGTATCAACAACCACCCAGAATTCCATCAGAGCACTGGCAACCTGATGCTGACCGCACGAAAGTGATGGAGATGTGCGCGAACGCGGGCGTCATTGTCACCGACAACGACCTCGTTTGGAAGCAAGTATCTGGACTGACGGACCGCAACTACAGCAGCACCGGAGACTCCGAGCTCTTCTACGTGTTGCGAAAGAAGATGCATGTGTGGGCGTGCCCCCACTGCAGTTCAACGTGCCTCAGGGCGCAACAGGCGGTAACGTCCGCTATCACTACAAGCCGGGCTTCACTGCTCACTTCAACAAGCAGAAGACGTATCATGAAGAGCAGCGAAGAGAAGGCAAGGCGATTGGCAAGGAGGACGGCGATGACATGCGGTGGAAGTGGTGTTATTTCGAAGATGTAGCAGATTCACTTTGCGCACAATGTCGTGCAGAGGGAGCTCAGTCCACGGCCGACCACTTGCGCAATGCGGACACATGCATCAATTGCCACGCCAACGGGCTGATCAAGCAGAATACCACGCACAAGGGAGCTGACCGCCCCAACATCATGAAAAGATTCTTCGCTGAATGCAGCCTGGTGCTCGGTGACATCAACGTGTCAACGAGCTTGAGAGCATATTCGAAGGGGACATGGATACTTTTGTAAAACACCTCATCGTGAATTTGTTCAACAAGAAGTTCGCGAAGGAGCTGTCGCAAATTGGAGGCATCACGCTCGATAGAGACTCCTTTGCTGACGACTTCCGCAGTAGCAACGGGAAGCAACTGTGGGTTGACAAGCTGTCGTACATCGTCACCCCCGACGGAACGAAAGAGAGTAAGACCAAATTCCGTGTACGGCGCGACTACGGAAACGCTGTATACGCTTCGTGGATGCGTTGGTTTCTCGGTCAAGAGCAAGCATACCGTGTTTTCTCCACCGACAATGAAGAGAAGTTGGGAGATGGATTGGAGACCGTTCTCGGATTCTTCGACGTCATATCCTACTTCGGACAAGAATTGCCAAAGTGGGGGAACGTTTGCCAATACCGACCAATGCTGGAAGCCACGTTCCTGAAGTTCCTCAGAAAAAACACGACCTCTCACATGACGGGCCTAAACAGGAAGAGAAGCGGCGCTGTGAAGTACATGGAGGTCACCAACAAGAATGTCAGGGACATCATGGACAGGCTGGCGCACTCGAACCCGTTCATCGATCTCGAGGAAGCCAGTTCATCAGGCCAGAAAGGAAGGGAGGCGAGTCCGATCGTGAGGACGAGGCTGATCGTGGTCGTGAACCCGATCATGCCGAGGAGCCTGAAGCCAAACAGTCAAGAGTCGAGGCGAGACGAGCAGAGCTGTTGCGGATGTTCGAGAATCTTTGCGATCGCGCTGAGAATCCCATGAAGGGACATGCAAACATATCGCAAGAGCAACGGAATCTGACTTGGCGCGTGGAAAGATTCAAATGCTGTTTCTTCCGGAAGGACATCCTTCATCCGATGAAGACATCGACATGGAAGTTCCAGATGATGATGAAGAGATGGAGCCGATGTCCAGCGAACCTCCTGAGAAATCACATCAACCGGAAACAGAGACATTCTATCCAAGGGAGGAGTTCCACAAGTACGACTACACTATGAATCTCTCCAAGATGGCTGATTT